TCTGTCAGACAGATCCCCAGAGGGAAGTCTCACAAAGTAGCAGATCTGGTTTATCAGATACTACTGCTGAAAAGGGTCAGCCCAGTCCACTGCCTGCTCAGTAATGCTGCCTTTCTTATGCTATGTCTTCATACCTGTGTGATGCCGTGGAAAACTGGTTCAACTACCTAGGCCAGCAGAAATCTAACTCCCTCATTTTTTTGCATTCTTTTAGGTTAGTGCTAAGAATCAATTCATTAAAGATAAAGCATGTGGAATTTAGAGGCAACAGCATTTTTTTTYGGAGCAGCAACTATTCTAACAGCCGAAGAACCCTCTGAAAATTACAGTCATCTATCAACTTTGTTCCATACACAAAACCTTGTACATACAATATAACTCCCCCAAAACCCCTAAGCTTCACTCTAATCTCAACCTTCACAGTAAAACTTCAGTTGTGTTACCTCTATTGATTCAAGTGAATCAACTGTATATAAATTGTATATGCTAACTGCAATTTTTCTTTCTTTAGATAAAACAGGGAACAAATGYCTACTTTATAAAATGCCCCAGAATAGGTCAGGGCSTCTTAGATTGGAAGTCTCCTATAAAATTGCTAGGTATTATTACCAAAAATTACTTTAAGGACRCCATTTTTCACCACATCAACAAACTGATGTTTACATAACTCCCATTTTTCATAATACATAAATAGGCAAAGACTAACAAATTAACAATCAAAGAGTCTACTGGGAAACAGTAAAGCATCACTATGAAGACTTTTCAGTTAATTTTCCTGTCAAAAGTAAATAGTTGATAATTAGAGCTCTGCTAGAGGGCAAAAAAGTTCATGAAAAATTAGGGTAAAAGGCAACAAACCAGCAATGTTAACAGCTGGGTATAAACTGAAAAAGTAGTTCAGTCCTAAAAGCAAATTTTGAAAGTAYATTGCACAAAAAAAAAGTATGCAGATGAACATATACTAAAGAGAAAGACTGTGCAAATTTAACTGAAAACAGGTAAACTCGTGCAGTTAATACAGATCAACATCTTATAATGGGAGAGGAAAAAAAGCACACAATTCAATCAAGTCAAAGAATAACAAGATTTAAGACACCGASTTAGAGGTACAAGACAAGCAGTTCACCAAAGCAAGAGATTCAAGTATGTTTGAACTTTACTTGGACTGCATTAGGTGTGAGTATTAGTATTTTCAGTATATTCCTGTTAGACTCTTCTACTTCCTGACTGCCTGGCCAGCAGGGCTCTGGAACACAGAAATCACTCTGCAGGCTAGAACAAGCCACATGACAGAGTCTTAGCAAGCAAAATGAGCAATTACAGGGGATTCTTGCCGTACACCTGCAGTGAGAATCAGCACGTTCAATACCATTGTGCAGTTAAGCAGCTAATCCCTAAAAAGTCACTGCTCAGCATGTATGAAATAAGATTTCCAGAAATTTGTATTTAGGCCATGTTTTAGCAGACCTTCACAAGTATTTTCACAGAGGATTGACTGGTGAATCAAAAATCTCCAGCTAAGTAGAGGCACTCCACAAAATGCTGAATTTTTTTATAAATACAAACAAAAAGAATGGATTTTCCTCTTGACCTTGACTGAGAAGAAACAATTGTTTGTTCTAGAGTTTCCCTCACTCCTCCCTTCTATAAAAATGATGTTAAAATAAAAAGCTAGGCATAGAATTTTCCATAGAAGTACCTTAACAGTTCAATGAAGTTACAGGTAAGTRTTTGACAGTTAAAAGCCAATCAGCTTTAATTAAAGAAGCATTCTTCCCACATTATAGGAATCCTCTTGGTAAAATGCAAGAAAACAGATAACACATATTTAAAAACCAATCCCCTCTGAATTTGTCTTACAGACATTAAAGCATTGGTGGGGGGCAGGATTTTCTCTCTGTCAGCCAGCATCTGATGTGCAGACCAAGGGTTCTTGTGTACCAACACCCCTGCATCCTTCTCAGCATGACTCTTCTCAATCCTTTCTCCACCCATCCTGTTCTTGGTTTTGGGACTGGCATGACCCAGCTGCAGGAYCTTGCACTTTGCCTTGTCSAACTTCATGAGCTTCACTTGGGCCCATCCCTGTCCTGTCAATACCCCTCTAGATGGCATCCCTTTCCTCCAGCCTGTTGGCTACACCACACAGGTTGGTGCCATCCAAAACTAGCAGATGGTGCACTCAATCCCACCATCCACTGTCCCCAACCAAGATGTTGCACAGGCCCAATCCCAATAYTTATTCCTGAGGAATGTCTCTTGTCATGGGGCTCTACTTAGACATCAATACACTGGCCATAATTCTTTGTGTGTGACCATACAGCCAATTTCTAATCTACTGAGTGGTCCACCTGTCAAATCCACGTTTCTCCAGTTTAAAGACATGGATATCACGCAAATCCTTTGTATGAGTCCACACATACAACATCAGTCACYCTTTCCTCACTCACCGATGCYKTAACACTGTCATWGAAGGCCATSACATTTGTCAGGCATGAATTGCCCTTAGTGAAGCCCATGCTGGCTGYCACCAGTCTCCTCCTTATTTCACACTAGCCTYAGTATMRTTTCSAAGAGRACTGGCTTCATGACCCTGCCTGGCACAGAGATGAGACTGACTGACCTGCAGTTCTCTGTCTTGAGTTCCCGTTTTAAAAATGGGGTCAATGTCTTCCATTTTCCAGTCAGTGGGAATTTCACCAGACTGCCATAACTTCTCAAGTATAGTGGACAGTGGCTTAGCCACTTTCTCCACCAGCTCCCTCAGGACCACAAATCAGGTTCCACGGATTTGCACACATTAAAGTTTGCGATCTATTTTGTTTCTCAAAACTTTGTCTCTTTTCAAAATSTGGCCTAAAACCAACTGCAGATGGAGTTTCTACTGTACTTTTAATTCAGAAGCTGAGCACTGTGGTGAGACCCCCAAAGATTAGTTTGACAGAGACCAAATCATAGAATTATTTAGGTTAGAAAAGACCTCTGAGATCATCAAGTCCAACCTGTGACCGAACACCACCTTGGCAACCWGACCATGGCACTGAGTTCCACATCCATTTCTCAGTCATACCTAGAACACCTCCAGGGATGGTGACTCCGTGACCTCTCTGGGCAGCCCGTTTCAATGCTTAACCACTCATTCAGTGAAGAAATTTCTCTTGGCATCCAACCTGAACCTCCTCTGGTGCAGCTTGAGGCCATTTCTTCTTGTTCCATTGCTGGCTAATTGGGAGAAGAGGCCGACCCCCAACTGGCTACCATCTCCTTTCAGGCAGTTGTAGAGAGCCTTCYTTTCTCCAATCTAAACACCCCCAGCTCCCTCAGTCGCTCCTCACAGCACTTATTGTCTAATTGATATGTCCAGGCAGAGCATGAACATGGGTTCCAGATTTCTGCACTTTGCAGAGCACCACTGGAACATTCACAGTTCCTCACTTCGAGATGTCACAAGGCTTTTTAAACACCTATACCTTTCAAGAGAACTGTGAAGAGAGAACTAGAAAAATTCAGCAGTGCAATTAGCCTATCCTCAGTGCTCAGTGGGCAGCTTCCTGCAAKAGCAGGATCTACGACCATTTTCCAACCTCCACCTCTAGGACTAGCTCCCACTTYTAGACCTCGAAACATGGGTCAAAGGCTTTGCTCTGCAAATGGGCATCGGCATTGTCTTAAAACTCAGGCTTTAAGAGACTGGGAAGGCCATCTCCCTAAAGAGCACACATATTATTCATCCACTACCCTCTCCTTCAAGAACTTGGTTATTCTTCACCATACTGTTTCTACATGGAGCCTATTTTATTCATGACACGTGCATACTGAAAAGGCTGCACATGCAATTCATCAGCCTTTTATTAACAKATTAAAAATTTAGAACTTCTGGAATATCACTACTCTGACTGCTTCTAAGACAACAGAACAACCAAATCAAATACAGAATTGCTTTAAAAAAGATGAGAAGAATAAGGTGCTTTCTTGAGAATACGTTTTTAATTGAAGAGGGTTTTACTTTAAAATACAAAATTACTGCAGCTCAGTGGTTTGTCTGCTGATATTTTTGGTTTTTTAAGTCAGAACACACACTTAGCAAGCCCTCCTGAATGACTAAGAAGGGGGCAAAAGTTTCAGTATAAAATAGATTYGTTTCAAGATTTTCTCCCTAAACATTTATCATCTGGTATAAAATATATGGTAATTTATGTTTTCAGAACAAAGAATATATATCTTGAAAAGGGAAGAAGGTATAGTACAATCTGACTTCTATTTTCAATGAAAATCATGCTGCATCTGAAGTAGAACAAAAAGAAGTAACAGAGACAGATGTTCAATTTATACATATTAATGTAAAGTATCCTATTACACTAATGAACCTATTTTAAAATKCTTTTCTTTATACCTATGGAATTTCAAAACAAGCTCTAGCTTATCATAATAACTTCCAATTCTTTCATCTTCTAYTAATGTATTTTAAGAACATTAAAGAAGATTCTTGGACACATATCAAGGTAAAAAAAATTAACTTGCATGCCTACTTCTCTTTCCTGAAAGAGAATACGAAATAAAATCCTTAACCTCTTGTGGTCAGAGAGCCAGCGGAGCTACACATAATGGAATAAACAACCCCAAACTCTTCTACTTTTCATGTTTTTATTGCCAGTTGCAGCTAAAATTTAATGCTTCTTTAGCCTTCAGTGATTCCTGGGGCTTCTTATTTCCATTTTGTGTTCTAATAGCCATCGTGAGGAAGGAAAAAGAAAAATCAGGATACCTTCCCCTCCCCATTAATGAAAGGAAATAAGGCAGCTTTCCAACTAACCCTGYACTGCTAATATTACTTCAATGAGAACCCCATGACCAAGCATCATACATAATTATAAAATCACCAATTAACTAGATAAATTCCTTAATTGGTTGTCCATGAAAAACTGGCAACTTTCTTATTCACATGGACTGAAATATATTTATGATATTAAATGTTACATTTTCAAAGAACAGGTATTTACCTTTGTTGCAAGATGTGACACTGAAGATGAAACTTCATCATGAAGAAACTGGTCTTTATTCTCAAAAAAAAAAGGATAAAGATGAAAAAGGCCCATAGTCAGTTTTGGTTTGACAATTAGTACTGACATATTTTAGACTATTCACAAATGCTTTTATTCTATTTGGCACATCATAAAAGAAAATTGACAACATATGATTACAACACAAAACTAAATGAACACCACTACCAAAATACAAATCTGCACTTGGAATGATGAAAAATATTGTACCAGATATAAAAACCAAAATCAAACCCTTACAGAACCAAAAACCCATACCACAAAGGGAGAAACGCCCTTGCATCACAAAAAATTAAGTACAATTAAAAATACAAATCTGATTTTATCTTAATGATACTGTCTTAATTTTTTGGATCTATGCTGAGTTTCTAAATACTGTACTAGATGATGGTTTATCCATTGTGGGCTGGGGGAAGAAGGATGTCCCAAGATTTTTTTCCTCCTTCACATTAAAAAGCTCTGCATTCCTTAACTCAAGGACAGACTTTCACCCACATTCCTTTCCTCTCCATTCACAATTGCAGATTTCAGAAGAAAACCAGAGTGCTAAAGACACCTGTGACAGTTATTCAATAGGGAAGCATTTCATCCATCTCTGAATTAAACTGCTGTGTTAGCACTGTCAGGCCATGCTGTTRTCATCAGTGCTCTCTTCAAGACATGACAGGTAAGATCATAGTTGGGAGTGCTTTAGAGACCAAAGATAAAGGAAGTGGGGCACAGAATTCAGGAAATGTGCAATTTTCCATTTCTTCACTATGTTTTTATGAGAAAAAATGCTACCCTTTTTTTACATATGCAGTTCCAAGTACAAAATCAGAACAGCTACATATGACCAAAAATATTTAACTCCAGTTTCAGGAAAAAACAGAATTAAAACAGAAAAGGGGAAAGTGTCTTTGAAGCAGCAATTTCACAAAATCTCCAATATTCACTCTGGTCCATATTTTGATTACATCAGCCACTTACTCTTTCAAAAATYTAATTTATCAAGTTCTTCCTTTTCMACTAAAGTAAAYGCTAAGRAGTTGATATGCASTCCACATGCATATATCCCAAGACACCTAAAACACTCATTATCCCAGCTCCTGCACATTGCCAAAGGCCTTCTTACTTTGCTAACAGCATCAGAAAGAGGTGAGAAAGCCAGCACTAGAGAGTTATGTATTTCTAGTCATCTGCGGACCCAGATGTATCGTCTTCATTTTGAGAGACCAGCTTCAAATCCAATGATTTTTTTCTAGTCACATTTACTTACTTTGTATATATTTATTTGCATACTAATGGTTACTTTACAGGCAATACTTTATATTATACTATATATGGATATATATAACAATATATCCATGACCAAAGGGTCAAGGAGAGAGCATTTCTGGAATTCAGTGTGAAGACCATTGCTCTATAGTTCAACAGGATTTGTATTTTGGAATAGAGTGACTTGTAGATAGCTAGCTTTACTTGCTGGGGTAGAACACAAAGTCAGGAACTCATATTATCATTGAAAATGAGACTATTACTTCCTGTGGATTGCAACAAGTTATTTCACTTCCGAATTCAGTTAGCTGTCTAACACAGAAGGATATTATTGCAGATTGGATACCAAAAATGAAAATGTTAAGATTTGTGTAGTTCTCTCAAATGAAATTCAATTACTTCCATKCCTTTTTGCTTTTTCATTTCCCCTTTTAAGAGAAATATTGGCAATGTTTTAAATGGAAATACCTCACACATACTATTCAGAAGTCCTCCTGTTTCCCTTCAACACTCAGATCTCAACATTTTGGATAAGGTTGCAAAGTCCTAGATTTAATATGAAAGTGTCTCTGCTAGGACACAGGGTACGAGCTAGAGAGTACTTCAGCTGATTTGTATAATTTTTTTCCAAGAACAAACAAAAAAATCAACAAGAACTAGGAAAGCTCCAAGGGGAAATATGGTAAAAGGAGAAATTCTCAGACATCCAGAGCTGGCAGAGCATCAGCTTCAACAACCAACAATACTGCCTCCAGAACAAGCAAGACTCTGTTAGTATCTTCCAAAGAAATAATACCTTTCATTTGAATTCATCCAGCTCTCCAAATATCTTAGGAGGAAAAAGAAAAATACAGAAGTGCATAGAGATGTCATGTTCTAGTAGAGAGAAGAGAAAAGATGGAAGTGTAAAGGCATGCAGCCTCTCTCAAGACTGAGCATAAGGAAGTATGAGTGCAAGGCATTTTCACAGTGAACATCTTTAGGGGAAAACCACAAGATGCAACAAGCGCCTCACAGGGCTAGGGATTCAGCATAATAGTCAACAAAAGATGTAATTAAAAATAAATAGTAGACAAAAAGGGGTATTTATTTGCTTCTTTTAAAAGGGACAAGTAGGACGCATTACAGAAAGTCATCCCTGCTAAGGAATGAGACACAAGTTTGCAGCAGCTATACTCATGCAGCTGAGGCTGATGGCAAGTGGACAACACAAAGTTTGAAGAGAGGAAATACAAAGACTGAAATGCCTTAAACCCTCAAGAAAGTAACTAGTGATAATCCTAAACCACATTTTTTGAGGGTGGAAGACCTATTGAGTATTCATAGCATCCTTTTAAGAYACACTGCTGAAGAAAAACAAGACTTGGACAACAGCAGGGTGCTTATGATGTCCATCCATATGTCCCATGCATTGTTTGAAAACAGCCTGTAGGTTTGAATTCAGCTGTCTCCAACAGAGTAGGTTTGAAAACATTTTGTGGAAAATCCACCCTTAGGGAAAGCAGAGAGAAGCAGACTAATGGTGCACAGCATGAACAGAGTGTGAGAGGAGCAAGTGTAGGGGCTCAGAACCAGCCATGGCCCACATGGCAGGGAGGGACCTGTGCACACTGCAGGAGGCACGGGCTGTCTATTAAAAAAAATACAGAGGGAAAGAGCAGAGGSAGGGAGAGGAAGTATGCCACCACAGGGAAGAACCCAGGAGAAAAGGTGAGAAATCACATACAACCCATCTTCCCTTGTTGCCCACAGAATAATTTGTATTTTTTTAAGTGATGCACATTAGTAGACCCTTTTCCTGATATGTATTCTCTACTTTTGTTACGATGAGATGAGGGAGCCTATGGTTTGGTTTATCAGTTTTCTTTTAGAGGACAACTTACTGTGCAGCTACATGAAAAAAAAGCTCATCTTCACTCTTTATCATGCTGCATAACACATACTGATGCTGAACACTCATAAATTATTTCAGTATGTTTTAGTCTGGTTCATTTACAGTTATGGCAATTCATTATTTTACTTCAATTTAAAATAAAAACRTGGACTATGTTACAGTTTTTAGATACGTATGGTGGCTAAATGCTAAGGCTAGTGGGAAGTCCTGATCAGCAACTTGAATAGCCCTCYAGTTCTGGCAGGGGAAAGTTGGTATGCACAGCGTGTTTTCATAAGGAAACAAGTGCCCTTTTGTTGGACATACTGCAAACCATAAGGTACTCAAGGGACTAATCCAACTAGCACACAAACCTTTTTGTACAGAGATCAAAATTGTAATCTACTTCCCTCAGCTTCCTTTGTGGTAAAGTAATTAATTAGTCTCTTTAGATCATTCACTTTCATAATTCAGGCCATGACGAAGAATGCTGAACATCAAAGAGTTAAGGCAAATAATAGCATCATTTTGTCCTGCATGCCCTTCTTGTGCTCTAGTAAGTAAAATGGTATATTATCGATTTTCTCTACACAGTTGTGGGAGCTTCCTATCATGTACATGCATTAGCTGTGCAAACATAAGAGTAAACAAGTTATTGTTAAAAGATTAGGTCCTTTTTGAGCAAATTCTCACCCATCTACTGACTTATTGAATCCCCTCTGCCCATTATCACTGAATGTAACGAAGTCTAGGTTGTCATGCCTGTGAGTGTGAGTCAGATTATGTATCACAAATGCATAATTTAAAAAAAAAAAAAAAANCAGCAAAAACAAACAACACCCAAAGAGATAAACTCCAGGGAAGAATTTAACCTAATTCCCTGTACTCCACACACCCTACCAAATATTTTAGTGATAGGAGAGGGAAAGGTTAAAAAATTTTTTTAAAAAAATCACTCAGGAAATCACAAACCTGAAAGTCAACCTCTGGAGTTGGAAAGATTCCCAAAACACTGATTAGAAACCAAACAGTAGAACAACTATATATACACAGCCTGACCAGAAACAACAGATTGGGAAGAGGAGATCACACTGCCAGATCACCATCTTAAAATACAGCTCACAAAAGAAAATATTTCCATAGGTTTGAGAGGAACTTAATACAAATAATACTAAAGCTGATTATTAATGCAAAAGTCACTCTGCTTATCAAACTTTAGAACTGTATCAAAAACAATGCAATATACTCCAACATGAGTAAGAAGAAAGTTATCAGTAGAGGATCAGCAGCATTTGGTCTCATTTTCTTTGCTGCCACTGTAATATACACCTGTAAAAATTCAATGAATGGATACATGATTTCTGAGTCAGGAAATTGATGCAACAGTGATCAGATATAAAGGGGCGCTGAAACAACTCTACTACTTTCAACATATTCCTTTAATACAGCTGAAAAACAAAGCTGAACTGTACCTGAACACCCACACAAAACTGAACACGACTTTAAGGGAAGAAAGGCTTTCAGTTTCAACAAATAAAGGCTRCATTACTCAGTCATACATCGCTTTCTTCTTGGACATGAGTCTATGTGCTCAGCAGAAAAACTCCAGGGCTGAACTGTGAATTGCCTCTGTTCCTTTCTGACAGAGATAGCCTAGAYTGAGATCAAGATAATTTGATCAGCCTTGTCCATATTTCATCTACTGCTAGATCKCAATCTTCCATTTGTATGTCCCTAAAGCAAGTGAGTGAATCAAACCAGCCATCTGGGCAGGCGGTGCAAATTGAAAATTTCCTGTTAATGTCACCAATGAAAAAGATTAACTTGCGCATTTCTAAAGTCTTGCTCAAGAGTAACTTGGTATTTTAAA